GGTGGGTGTATTGGCTCACATATATATTCCAAGAAAGTTGGAGATTCAATATTGACCTTTGTAGCTAAAAGTCTAATGACTAACTTGCCTTACAAAAGCACTACACATGGATAATCATTAGATAAAAGAATCTCCTTATTCTTTAAGGGATGTCTGTGTGAGTTGTGTATTATTTGACGTATCATTATAACTCCAGATGTCCAAGTCGATCTTGTCAAAATATAAATATTTTTTTTAGAATAACGAACATCTGGTTCGTAATAATATTTTGATTCGACTATTTTTATAAATATATAATACATGTCAATGGGAGTACATGAAGTTTTTTTTATTTGCTTCTGGTCAAATACAAAATAAGTTATGCAAAAATATTCAACATTATTTTTCTTGCATTGTCTTAATGTGATATCCATTATAACGAATATTTTTAAAATTAAGCAAATTTCTTCTGAATTTGCTAGAATAAAGTGTATCTTCAATATATAATTTTGTATTATTTGGTAAAATAATACAAGATCTTCCAGAGCCTTCAACAATATTTGATGCACAATAATTAAGTTCGGAAATGACTTTTTGTCTTGAAGAATAATGTGCATATTTGTACTATCAACTAAACAGATATCTCGACAATTCATCTCAAATTTTGTGTTGTTTACTATTTAAATAATTTCACCATAAAATAAAATACAATTAATCTCGGAAAATATGATTAAATATCACACAATAATTAATCAAGTAGTTAATATCAACATGACAAAAGTTACGTGTCATCTTTCAGAGATAAATACTAACTTAAAATAATATGTTTTTCAAAATATGTGCTACTTCAGGAACACGTTGTATTTTATTATTACTTTTTCAATAGTAATATATCAATATTCGTCTAAACTATTGAAAATTATAGTTCATACTCTTTAGGAGCAAGTAATATTTTTTATGAATATTAACTATAATATTGTACTATTTTAGGAGCATCAACGAATTATTTATAATAGACAGATCTACGATTAATATTCTTTTGGAATATTAATTATAAAATTGTACCACTTCAAGAGCAACAATATGATAAATTATTATTTTAAAAAATTAGTTCTTCAGGAGCCATGTATTGTTTAAAGAGTTAGTGTAAAAAATACACTTATCAGTTATGGTTTTTGAGGAATTACAGTAAACTATTTGTAATAGACAATAATGGTACTAAATTCATAAATCATACTAATTAAAAAGATCATGAACGAGATAATTAATCGAACAAAAAAGAAGAAGCAAAAGAAAAAGACAAATATGAATTAAAGCATGAATTAACGTGTACATATATCCATAGTCCCATGAAGATAGGTTTTTTTTTTAATCGCACATATTAATTTTTTTTTGTTAATATAGTTAAATTTATAAATTCTACTATCATTTTTTATAATACACTCCTATATTAAAACAATCAATATTTAAAGTAATTAAATTATATTTGTGATAACAAAGCACATTAAATAAAAATATATTAATTACACTCTCAAATAAGAAACATGATTATAATTTGGGATAGACGAAAAATGAAAATAGAACTATCTTTATGGGATTAAGGTAAGCCTGAGCATGGCTCGAGTTGGTTTGATTTTAAGTCCCACCCATAACCGAAATCTACTTAGTCGGTTTGGATAAATTTCAAACCAAACCAATCTAATCCAATCATTGAAATCGAATCAAACCAACCAAAATTGGTTTGGGTCGGTTTGGTTAATGGGTTTGGACACTGGTCTGAGTTAAAATTATGTATCTATTTTAAGTTAAAAATTTTGTCTTTCTATACATATATATTTTTGCTCGCGTATCAATAATATATATAATATAAATAGTAGTTGGTTGATTTTTTCAAAATTATCGTATATATCTGATAGTTACCAACAAACAATTATACCAAAAATGAAAAGCAATGATACAATCTAAATTTGGAATTTATATAAACATTTCTTCTTGCTTTCTTTTCTTTTGAAATTTGGAGTTTTGGTAGAAAAAGCATAGATGTAAATAAATTATTTAAGAAATAATCATATTTGTTTTTTTTTTTTTTTAATGTTTAAGAAGATGAAATTTAAAATAAAAAAAAATGTATTTGCGGATTGGATCGGTTAATTGATGGGTTGGTTACATAACCCGCAACCAACCTAACCCGACTTTATAATGGTTAAAATTAATCGAACTAAACCAATTTTTTGATTCAAATCAATCCAAATCGACCCGACTCGATTTAGTTTGATCAATTTAATTGATTTTTCGATTTTTTTTGTGCACCCCTAGATGAAGGATTTTTTAAACCATTAATGGAGATAGAATTAATGACAGCACATGGATAGGGCCCAGAGTGCACTTATTACAGAGAAAATCTTTACAAAACTCACAGGCATGTATTGCCAAAAAAGTTGAGCAATGCAATTCATCGTTACTAGAGTTGCATCATCAGCCTAGGTGGCGTTAATGTGGCATTAAATTATAGGTGAAATTAATTAATTTTACTTATCATTTAATGCCACATTAACGCCACCTAAATTGGAGATGCAACCCCATTGGGGCTACATAGAATTATTGAAAAAAAATTCATTTAATTTCACCTATCATTTAATGATATATTAACACCATCTAAACGGAAGATACAACCCCACTGAGATTACATAGAATTATTGAAAAAATTTTATGCATCACATGGATAAAGGAAGAATTAATGATTGCTGCACGACGTGTAAGTATACAAGGCATAAATTGATTTTTGTGAAAAAAATGATTTCTAGAAAGAATGACGTGATTATTATTATTATTATTATTATTTTTGGGAATAGTTCATGTAGTAGCAACACATGTATAAAAGAAATTTGCGTGTTATCAAATTAATTTTGGTACACATAATAGATGATTATGCTTAAAAAAATATTACTACCTTCTTTAAATTTTGAAGAATTAAATTTTCGCGCTGATCACCTTTTATAAACTAGAGAAGAAAGGAGAAAAAAATTAGTGAAGTCCATAAACTTATATGTATTATAATGAAAATCAAAACCTTATATTTATAGGAAATGATTAGAGATACAATTGTAATAATTTCTAGAGATGTAGCGGTACAATTGACATTCATTAATAAATTTACAATTTACAACAATTCTTATTTTTTTAAAAATATATTCTCTCTTCTTTTTAATCCCACATTTTTCAATAAAATAATATTATACGCAACTCAAAAAATTTCTTTTATTTTTAACCACAAACGTGCTGTTCCAAAATGCATTCTACGTAAAAAAATAGGGCCAAACATGATCCGGTTCGGTTCGATTCGGTTCTCTTCAGAATCGAAACGAACCAAAATTTTTGAGTATTTAATAAACGAAACCGTCGGGGTCCAAATATAATTATGGAACCGTTCGAGTTTCATTTGATATGGTTCGATTCCATACCATAATTAATTTTTTCAACATTTACAGCAATACTATATTAATATAACTAATGACATGTTACAACAATACTACATTAATAGAACTAATGACATGTTTATTCCTAATTTTTAGAAATTAAATATACTATCTAACATTAAGAATGTTAAATTACATCTAGTAGAAACATCTAAAATATCAAGTTTTTTTGTATACAATCTTTTCCCTTTCAATACAACATTTAAATTTCATCAACTGGGAATAAGATGATGGAAAATATCAAATGAAAGTATAAAATTGAAAAGGGAATGATAAAAACTTAAAAATACTTAGATCTTGGGCTAACAATGAAATTAATAATTGTGCCAAAAAATTAAAACAAAAAATTGAATTTAGAAATTGGGTTAGGCTGGGATAACTAAGTATGGACTTGACTTGGGAGTTGAAGTATTAATCACTAAATTTAGTTAATTTGCTAATTTGTCTAAAAAAAATTAAAATAATTTAATTAATTCAATATAAAAAATTTAAAAAAATATTTATATTAGGTCTTATTCGGTTATTGGTCAAGAATCAAGAATCGAACCAATTTCATCTATCCTCGGCTTAGTTCGGTTCGGGTTTTGTCCGGCATAGTAAAAAACGAAATATTCATTTCTCATTTCCCTCATTTTATTCTTTTGTATTTTTTCTGACAAATATGAATTTTGGGCGAAATCTCTATTCCGCTATCTCCACCCTAAATTATTCCGCATTTGTCCCCGAAATCAGGTAATTCTTCTTCCTTATTCATCCGCAATCATCCTTACTTGATATTAATATGGGTTTCCAGCAATTTTCTACAATTATTTGCATTTAGTAGCTGATTATTTGATATCTGAGTAACCCATTCAGTTTAATATTTAGTAATTGATGGATTTTATTTGATCTCTGAGTAACCCACTCAGTTTAATATTTAGTAATTGTGGGTCTTGTAAATTTCTCAATTTTCAGTGGCATTTTGAACGGCAATCGATTGTATCAGATCTGACTCTGTTAATTTAGGGATATCTTGAAGTGGGTTCTATTGATTTTTGTTGTGTGTTGCTTCACATACTTCAAAGTGAAACCAATTGAGCCTTTAGATTGATCCAAGTGTATATTTGACTATATCAAGTCATTAAGTTTTTGGAAATTAGAGTTTGAAATTCCATTGCAGTGTTTGGGTTGGTGTAGATGGGGAAACCATTACTTTATGAAATATTGGAAAAACCAGCTACAAGTTGTATAATAGGATTATGCAGTGCAATATGGTTCTATATACAGAAGAAGAACATTGGGTATTCTCATGTGGGCTTGAGTTATGATACTGCAGTGGAAGGTCACCACTGGAGGCTAATAACATCAGCTTTATCACATATTAGTGTTCTTCATCTTGTTTTCAATATGAGTGCACTTTGGAGCCTCGGGGTCATTGAGCAGTTAGGCCATATGGGTCTTGGTCTGGAGTATTATCTTCATTATTCATTGGTATTGGTTGTCTTGTCAGGAATGCTAGTTATTGGGATGTACCATGTCTTGATTCAGAAGTTCAAGATAGACTATTTTAGGAGAGTGACTGCAGTTGGGTATTCATGTGTTGTTTTTGGGTGGATGACAATTTTGTCAGTGAAACAGCCCTCGTCTAAATTGGAGCTTTTTGGATTTCTCTCACTACCCATCAGTTTTGCTCCATTTGAGTCCCTCATCTTTACGTCTATTATTGTTCCACAAGCAAGTTTCCTTGGTCATTTGTCAGGAATTATTTGTGGATATTCTATTGCCTGGGGTTTGATCCATGGAATGAACAATTATTGGGCGGTATCTATGCTGGGGTGGATCGTGCTTATATTTATTTTTAGCTTGAAGAAGTCTGGTACATATGATTTCAGCTTTCTTGAGATCGAATCGGTGACAGATCCTTCCATGCCTTCTGTGCGTTTCATAGCTTCGGGAAATGATAGAACCTTGCAGATGAGCACGTTGCCAGATGCCAGTACAGATCTTGTCTAGCTTCTGGGAAAAATATTGCTATATATTTTGTATTTATACTTAAATTCTTCGGGTCTATCGGGTCGTTTAGCTAATGCCGTGATAAGGCGACGCTGCTGGGAGGCTGCTTTTACTGCTTTTCAGATTAGCATGAATGTCAAATGTCTTGTGACACTATATGGAGAATAAGAGTCACTGGTAACCTTTGTTTTCCACTCCTCTTTAAGACGTGTTTAAAAGCTTCTCCAATTTGTTGGATCTTGGTCCTAACTCAGTAGCCCTCGTGCTCGTGTACCAATTTTTCTCAATCTTAATTTAATCAATTATGAACAGTTGGACAGAGCGTGAGATAAATTCATTTGTTATTGATCTTTCCTTCTCTGACACGAGGCATGTGTCACATATCAAATAATTTCCTTCATGAATATATATATATATATATA